TTATAATTTAATATTTTTTTGAAGCAGAATAAAATAGGTAAAATTTTATTGAAAAAAACCAAACAAAATTTACATTTACGACGTATTGTATATATATACTATACATATACATATATATATACACACACACACACATATATGTATATATACATATATATATATATATTATAATTTAATATTTTTTTGAAACAGAATAAAATAGGTAAAATTTTATTGAAAAAAAACCCAAACATTTTACATTTACGACGTATTGTTGATTTAATATGCTGAATCATTATTAATGGAATATAGGCCTACCTATTATATTTCTATAAATTAATCAATAATTATCTCATTAATCGCACTATCGTAAATTGGCCTATTGAAGCATTATTGTAGTATTATTAATTATTCACTAAAGCATTATTCGAGCACCTTTATTAATATTATTGTTATTATTGTTATTTATTTTTTTATATATATTATTTATCAACCATATTAACATTGAAAACATTAATATGCATATGTGCATAAAATTATCGCAGAAAATAAACTTATAATTTATAAGATTATTTTTAAAAACAGAATCAAATAGATAACGTTTTTATTTAAAAGCAGGTTTAGCATGTACGTAATTTTTTTTAATATGCTGATTTATTGCTATTTCATTAATCAAACTATCGTAAAATTATTATTGTTATTATTATTATTATTATTATTATTATTATTATTATTAAACCAAAGAAATTTTACATTACGACGTATTGTTGATTCAATATGCTGAATCATTATTAATGGTATATAGGCCTACCTATTATATTTCTATAACTTAATCAACAATTATCTCATTAATCACATTATCGTAAATAGGCCTATTGAAGCATTATTGAAGTATTAATTATTCACTAAAGCATTATTCGAGCACCTTTATTATTATTATTATTATTATTTATTTTTTTTATATATTATTTATCAACCAGAATAACATTGAAAACATGAATATGCATATGTGCATAAAATTATCGCAGAAAATAAACTTATAATTTATAAGATTATTTTTAAAAACAGAATCAAATAGATAACGTTTTTATTTAAAAGCAGGTTTAGCATGTACGTAATTTTATTTAATATGCTGATTATTACTATTTCATTAATTAAACTATCGTAAAATTATTATTATTATTATTATTATTGGTGATCCGCTAACGTTAGCGGATCACCTCTTGTTATTGTCAGAATCTTTCTTTCTTTCTTTCTTTCTTTTTTCTTTTTCTTCTTTCCTTCTCCCCAATTTTGTGACCACGATATCTCAAGATTGCTTTAACCAATCAACATAATATCTTCAACAATCATTAGTCTTGGGGTGGAATCGATACAATAAGCTTTTCAGCGTGATCAGTCACGCGTGACGTCATCTACGCGCAATTTTGCGTTTTACGTAGCAAAATGTTTGACAGGTCATAATTTCATCACCGCAAGGACTTTTTCATTGAAACTTAACACAAGTAATTTTCATGTCAAGTACTATCCATATGCACAGTGCTGTCCGAATTGCAGCTTATTACGCGCACGTACGCGTGCGCTAAA